CAGACTTTCGCTACAAACACACTAAGCCAGTATCATTTCCTCTTCCGGCAAGGTTCTCTTGGCCCTCACCCACATCGRAAACGATCTCATCCTGAGATTGAGATCCTCCTCCCTTTTCACTTGTGTAAGGAAGGGGAGCCCTCTTTGGGGTCTTTGAGAACAACGAACTTGCTGCTGTTCCTGTGGTGGAACAGGTTGTTGTGGCGGTGATTGAGTAGTTGTCACCGCCTGACTAGAAGAAGAAGAAGCTACAGTCTGTGCTGCTGCTGCTGACGAACCGCTTGGTTGTGTGCCAGCTTGGGGATAGATGCCTATAACTGCCATCTTAGGGAGTGGTGATTTATAAACTGCGAGCAGCCTAGAGCTTAGCTCCTGCAACTGATTCAATGTCTAATCCAAGGTGTCTTGCATTAAGTCCTCTTTGTTGACTACGCGTGCGTGTAGTGTGAGCAAACTAGACCTCAACACCTTCATTGGGTCAAACATCACTGCCTCGTCTGTTGCCTCTAACGCAGTTTTGTTGGCCTCTACTCTCTCCAACCTGACTCTCCTATCTCTCTTTCTCTCTGTGGCTTCCTGAAGTTCCCTTACTAGCCGTGCATGGATCCTTTCGACTTGCTGGAGTTCCCTCAACTCCCGCTGGCGTGGGGTCAACAGGCTTAACTGCGAGCCCACCATTTGACTGGTGGAGACTACAGAAACTACGGTACTAGAGATGCCCGGGGACCAGGTGAGCATTCCCAACTGTGTCCCAGACGAGGTCCCAGATGAGAGGCCAGCATTGGATGCTGCTGCGGTAGCCCTTGCAGCTGCGGCGGCCTGTCTAGGTGCTACGTTAGCTGCTGTTGCCAGCTGTGCAACTTCCCTTGCTGCTCTCTCAACTGCTGCTCGTGCACGAGCTCTTTCTCCGGCCCTAAGCCGTCGCTCGACTTCCGTACCTAGAATCTAGAACACGAACGAAACTCTTCTTTAGTTCCGACCGTGAGTCTCTCATCGTCAACTCTACCCTCATCGCTGTCTGACCGACTCAACAGCTAGGCAAACATTATCTGCACTACAACCCCCTAGTGGAGTCCTACCACAGCATGTGTCTGACCGGCACCTAATTTTCTAAAAATAAATGTGTCCGGCAGGTATCTTCACCACAGTCCTCGAGCAGCGGTGTCTACGTGTGTAATTCTCGGCCCACCCCTGTGCCCAAGTCATTGCCGAGCAAGCCAGCCAGTCCACTCTTATTCACCCTCGTACGGGACGAGCCTTACACCCGGTTGATCTGGCTGATCAGGAGGAATTTATAGAGCGCCCCCATCTCTTCAGGAATTATTTAACGTCGCAGACAGGACGACGATCACAGCCAGATTCAATCCGAGTCCCCAACCAGAAATGTTTATAGACGGTCTGGTAAGCGTCTCATAAAAGGAGGGCACACCCGGCAGGACTTCTATTTAGCGCAGCAAGTGCCGAAATGGACAGCAGCCATCGCATGCGTGACCTACTCCCATTGGGTTGGCATTGTGACCGTGACCCAAGTGCTTCTACCAGGGCCCTTTAGAGGCATCGCCCATGCTCCATTCATATGCTTCCAGGAAGATTGTCGTCTCTCAAGGTAGCGCGCATTCGACACCTCACCAAAAGAGAGGACTCTCAAGTTGGAATCACTTCCTCACGGTAAGAAGAGATTGAGAGAGTAGATAAGGTAAGGGAACAACGTACCTGGAGATAGCTGCCCCCAACCACAGATTTCTCACCAATTGAGCTGAGTGTGCATTTGATGACCGGTCTTGGCCTTGGTACCACCCACAACGCAATGCAGTGCCACCTCAGCCTAATGCCACATCAGCATGCTCTCATCACCAATCATACATTCCGCCTGTCACCACGGCATAT